AGCAATCTTGCATAAAAAGAACAAAGTGGAAGGCATTACAATCCCAAATTTTATAGGTATATTATCAAGTTACTGTAATAAAAACTGACACCAGAGCAAAAATCAACATAGACCAGTGAAATAGAAGACACAGAAATAACCCCATGTACTTTTAGCCAGTTCATCTTTCACAAAAGGTTAAAAAACATATACTGAAGGAAAGGGCCTCTTTAATAAATAATTCTGTGAAAACTGGCTATGCACATGCAGAAGAGTGACTCTAGACCCATATCTCTCACTTTGTACTAGACTAAAATAAAACTGGATAGAAGACCTAGATATCAAAAAGAAACACTGAAGCTATTGGAAGATAAAGTAGGGAAAACATTTAAATACATGGACACAGTCCAGAGTTCCTGAAGAGAACTCCAATGGCATAAGAAATAACAAGAATCAACAAATAATATTTTCTCTTTTTTATTATATATGTTTGAAGTATATGATAACTGCATTCATCATGGAGCAAATGGGATTATATCAAATTAAAATCCTTCTGTATACAAAAGGAAATAACCAATGTGAAGAGAAAACCTTTGAAATGGGTAAACTTTTTGCCAGCTACTCTTCTGACAAAGGACTAAAATACATCTAGGATATATAAAAAATTAAAAAAACATTACATCCTCTAAAACAAAAGATTCAATCAAACAATGAGAAAATGAAATGAATAGACTATTCTTAAAAGAAGTACAAATGGCCATACATACATGAAAATGTTTAGTGTCTGGAGCCATTAGAGAAATACAAATAAAAACAACACTCTGTCTTATTCAAGAATGCTACAATCAAGAACACACAGACACACCCATCAACAACAACACCAACACCAACACCAACATCAACAACAAGAACAGCAGCAACAACGTATGCTGGTAAGGGGTAAAAGGACCATCCCTTGTTGGTAGAATGATAAACCAGTAAAGCTATTAATGGAAAAAGTATGGAGATTCCTTGAAAAAAATGGAAATTCTATGTTATCCAGCTGTCTCTCTTGTGGGTATATTGCCAATGTAGTTAAAGACATCATACTATAGAGATACATGAATACCCATGTTTATTGCAGCGAAATTCATAACTTAAAAACTATGAAAGTAGCCACCTAGGTGCCCAAAAACAGACATGAGTAATGTGGTACAAAGAAAGATAAATTCAAATCATTTGTAGGAAAATGATGGAATCAAACCACAAAATGAAATATGTCTAACAATAAGACAAACTATTACATGGTTTCCTTTATATGAGAAACCTAAAATATAAATGAATCAAAGGACAAAAACTGATGGAGAGATGGTAGGAAGCAGGAAGACAGGCTTCTTGGAGATGGGAGAGAAGATAGGGGAATAGAGGAGAGAGAGGGAAAAGCAGGGAAGAAAGGGTATAGAAAATAATCAAAATATGATACATACGTGTACCAATTTTTCAAAACAAAGGTTATGATGTATCAAAAACATATGCTTTTTATTTTTTAAATAAAAAAGAACGAGGCAGCTTCCAGGAGAGCATGGTGGATAAATAGCAGCAGCTACAGAGGCTCTCTGAGATACCCCACTTAAAATCCAGGAATGGTGTGGGGCGAGAAGTCCTAAGCAAGGAGAGATATACCCTGCCGACCCAGGAATGAACTAAACTAAGAGGAACCAACTGGAAACACAATCCCGGTGCTATAACAGGAACAGATAAGGTCTCAGCGCAGAAGCTGGAGCCCGCAGCACTGGAAGCCGTGATTTGAATTTCCTGCAGCCGCTGTTGCGTCCCAATCGGCACGGCAAGGAGAGAGGCGCAAAAGCTCTGAGAGTGGGAAGTGGCGAATGGAGTTGAGAGCAGGACTGGCTGGGAGCCCTGCATCAAATTGCGGTGAGTGAGCAGATTGGGGACCCTTCCATAGAGTAGGAGGCTTTAGTAAAGGACATACTGGTACGGAACAAGATGCTGCAGTGTCATTAGTTGCATATTCCCCTCTCAAGCGGGATTGGTAGGGAGTGCCTGGCCTGGGTGTCGCCGCTGACTTAAGACCCAGTAGGCTAGCCCAAACCAGGTTCCAGCGCCGGGAGACCACCCTAGCAGTGAAGCCTTCGGTAGGTTGACCTGGAGGGGTGGGCCAAGCATAGGCTGCCTGGGTCTGTGTCTCCCTTGTACATTGCAGTGGGTGGGAACACCTAGCCAGCGCAATTCAAACAAACTGTAACCGACAAAGAAAGAAACTGGGCCTCCTATATACGCTTGTATGGAAGGAACAAAAAATATGGGAAGAGGGGGCAACAAGAAAGGGTCCTCGGCCCCCAATCCTGAGAAACATGCAATATCAGACATGGCACAAATAGACATAAAGCGGTATCTCCAGAGCCTCATAGACCAGTTCAAAAATGAAGTTACTAACGACCTAAAGCAAGATATAAGTAGAATAGTTAGAGAAATGCTAAGCACCACCCAAGAAAAAACAGATGGTGGAATGGAAGAATAGAAAAAAAGGGGAGAATTGTTTGATGGAGAAAATAGAGAAAACATAGAATATGTGAAGCAGGTTCAAAGAGATTACCAGGAAACTAAAAACTCTATCGAAAGCTTGCATAACAGCTTGAAAGAAACTAAGGATAGATTATCTGAACTGGAGGGCCGATTTGTAATGTGGGAGCATGAAATGAAAAACTTCTTAAAAATAACAAGAAAACAAACAGCAATAATACAAAGGCTAGAAGATGATAAGAGGATCTATAACTTAAAAATTAAGAACATAAAAGAAGAAGTAGGGACACAAACAAATGGACTACAAAAGCTATTCACAGAAATAATCCAAGAGAATTTCCCTAAATTAGCAAAAGACAAAGACACTCAGATGTATGAGGCATACAGGACCCCATCCACCCACAACCCAAACAGAGCTACACCCAGGCATATAATAATCAAAATTCCAGAAATCCAATATAAGAACAAAATATTAAAAGCCGTCAGAGATAAGAAACAGATCACTTACAAGGGAACACCCATCAGAATTACAGCAGACTTCTCGGCACAAACCATCAAATCACGAAGAGCTTGGGGGGAAATAATTTAAGCTTTGAAAGATAATAACCTCTGGCCAAGATTGATATATCCTGCACAACTATCCCTGGAAACTGATGGAAAGACAAAGTGCTTCCAGGATAAAGAAGAACTAGGGGAATTCGCAACCACCATTTCAACTCTACAGAAAATACTGCAGGATATTCTAAAAAGGGAAAATACCAAGATTCCAGAAATAGTGGCAGAGAGGCCACAATGAATGGAGCAGAAAGAGAAATGAAGAAGACAAACTGACAACTAATGACAGAAAAAGAGCTCAACAGAAGTGAGGCAGAGAAGGTTGGATGGTAAGAACAGCTATTTTGGAGAAAACAAGACATCATAATAGCTAGTGCTGATTTAGTATCATCTTGTTTTGAAGTCCCATCAAGCCTTTATTCTTCTGTCTCCATTGGTCTTAACAGGTTGTATCTTATTGGATTTTATTATATGTGATAATATAAGCAAAAACGTTTATAGACAAGGAGATTATACGGAAACCATTGTTCATTTTCTGTTAGGTGGCTCTAAATACCCTGTAATAAGGTCATTCTCTTGAATAGTTTTACACTGTCTGGATATGTTTGGTGCTACAGTATATGAAGTTATACTCAAATATTTCAAGGAAAGAGACACTATGTTTTGTTTTCTTTTGTCTTTTTCATTTTTATCAGTACCAGGGATTGAACTCACGACTGCCTGCTTGCAACGCAGGTGCTTATGCCACTGAGCTAAGTCCCCAGCCCCGGAAAGAGACACTATGGTAACTACTTTTATGTTGGGATATCCTGTGGTGAAACACTATTTTTGCTTAAATGGTTATGTTTTGACCTGTGCTGTTTTGTTGTTACGCCCTCTTTTATCTCAATCTCCTTTTTAAATGATTTACTTTTTTATTTTTATCTTTTTAATTAAGGGAAAAATAAATAAAAAATAGCAGGATACATTATAATAACCTACTTTGATTTCCTATTAACTTGATTTGAAACCCTGTATTGCCCTCACCATCTTGTTTTGACTGATTTCCCCCTATTCTGCTTAGCTTGATAGTACCAAGTTCTAAAGTATAGGCAACAACTGTGAAGACAATAAGATTCATTATGATGTCCATTCTGGTTGACTATGATCTTCTTTTAAAGTTCTGTAATGTCTCCAATGTTTTGGTTTTATTCTTTACTGTTTTGTTCAATTTTATTATAACTGATGATAGATAGCAAAAGACAGTATGGTAACCATTGTTGATCACCTTGTATTTTGTTTTTATATTATCTATTATGTCTATCCTTTTGCTATGATTGACTCTGTTCTGATATGTCGCATTTGGTCTTACTCACTTCAAAAAAAGTAATAAGAACTGTGGGAGTAATAAAACCCAAAATGTGTAATTGTCATTGTACAAAATAAAAGAAAAGAAAGTGCTCTAAAGGTTGTAACTGCATATGAGTTTAAGTGCATAAGATAGATAACCATATTACTGAGTTTTGTTGGATCATTGAACAAAACTATTTGCAGTCTCACTGTTTGAAAGTCCACTTTATATGCTTTAATTTTGTAACTTGAGCAACTATTTCTAAGATGAGAATATGTAATTTATTAACTAGTGATTTCTTACTGTTTATTTTTTAAATTTTGTATTACTTGTACCCTTTTTCTGTTTTTTTCTTTTTCTCCTTAAATAAAATTAAAAAAAGAAAAAGAAAAAAAAAAGAACGAGGCTAGCAGTGGCAAGTGTTGCTAGTCAGGTGTGCATGAACCTTATGATTTAAATGTTTCTACCATCCACAATGCTTAGCATACAAGAAATCCTCAATGCACACAGTGCAAAACTTTGTAAAACCAGCAGGTCAGTGTCTTTCTGTGATTGTGAAAAGATGATGACAAAACAAAACTTTGCAAACTCCTTGCTTTCCAACTAGACCTACCTGATATGTTCCTTGCGGCTTTGCAATGATGGATGTCCCATCCCCAAAGGTGGCACAACAGCTACTGTCCTCACAGTTGGTGATAATGGTGGCATAGTGTGAGCTTTCTATCCGCATGCACTTCACCTGTCTGGTGATGGTCCGAGGAACTTCAGCTACAAGCAAATACAAGGTAAACAGATACCACAGGATGCTGATGCTGCTAATTTGCTGCTGTCTCCTGGTTGTCAGGATTCCCCACGGGAAGAACACACATGGAGAGTAGACTAGGGGTTCGAACTCCACCAAGTCAAAGTGAGGCTTATTCTCCTTGTCAATTCAAAATAATTCTTTTAGAATAAATCATCATACTTTTTATTGTCTTGATCTCACTGTTCTTTTTATTTTGTGAAGTTGAAAATATTTAGTTTTTCATTTTGAAAATTAAAATGCAAAAATTGTAATTTAATTACTCATACTTTTTAGCAGTCAAAATATACACTTGTTATTCTTTGCCATATTTTTTCAACATTTATAATATACACATGAAAGTTATAGTTTCTCTTTATGTTTATATTTATTTCCATTATGTAACTCATTATTATACTTTTTTTATGAAGATACATATTGAGAACAATATATAACACTAGCATGCTCTAATTTTAATAAATTATATATTATTCTATGTAATCATATGATTATATAATTACTATCATCTGCATCTGATTTTTTTACTTTTAAATTTGTTTTAGGTCTCTAGCAATCTTAATATATGTGTGATTCTTTATGATGACTATTTAATGTCCTTTTGTATCAAAACAACATTTTATTTTCATATTCTGTCATTGATAGAACTTATGTTTTCCCAATATGTCAATGTGATGTTCAGGGTTGAATGTAGTACTTGTTTCCTTGTGCAAATGCATAAAAGCATCTATACGTACACAAAACCAAAGCTAGTATACAATACACATGATGTCATAGGGTGGGGTTAGGAAGATGTGGGCTGCAGAACGAGTAACTGTAGATAACTGTTAATGTTCAATATGAGGATTCTAGTAAGTAATATTGCATTGTGTACTGGAAATATTCAGAATAAACAGATTTTAGTTTTTCTTATCACATATAACAAAAAGTCACTATATGAGGTAACACATGTCAATTTGCTTGTCATAGTAATTATTTCTCTCTCTCTCTATATATGAAAATATGCATATCATAAACATATACAATGAAGAAAAAAACAAACTCTGGCATTAATGAAAAGAGAACCAGGGAAAATTTGGGATTTAAAAACCCTGTCTAAATTTAAGTTAGAGTCTCTGAGAAGGTTCCAATTGGGTAGCAGGTGCAGCCTTCTTTTTCTTATAATGCCTTTCTGACAATGAAAGACATGCTCAAGTTTGACGGAAGACCTACCTGATGTCACCTGTATATACCTTAGATGCCTAGAAGGTCAAAGAAAACAGGTCTATGAGCTAATATCTAGGACAACTGAGCCATAATTATTAGTTTTCATTAGCCACCAATCTGTATCATACACCTTTACTTTATTTATTGATACCAGGAATAACAGTGGTATAGTGTGAGCCCTTCATATACCTTTAGAAATAAAAATAAAAAAGACTGTTGCTATTCATCAACCAGCTGGAGTAGTTATCACTAATATCTCTGTTGAGGATAAAGAGCATAATAAAGGTACTAATACTCTTCTATGTTCATTACAGCTGTTATTCACTATCTTAAGATATGGAATCAATATGAAAATGTGATAAAGCTATAAAGGTAACTTAAGTCACCAAAGCAAATAAAATATAATAATAATAATATAATAATAATACAAGGTTGTAATTGGCCCTGCTTTGCACTGCCTGTGTGTTCCTTGGATGGCTGAGTCCATTACAGAATTGTTTTATGTTTGTGTTCACCAGACAGTGAAGATTCTATATATCTCAAGCTATAGTTATAAAATATTGCTTTGTCTTTGAAAAAATAAAACTCACTCATTTCTTGATCATCTGTAGAAATAATATGATCCTCATAAACTTGATAAAAGGTTGTAATTCTGGTACCATCAGCATGATCCACTATCCGAGTACCATCTTTCTTTTCAATAATGACTACTTTGTCTTCTCGAGTTGTCATAACCTGAGCAGATGAAAGTAACGCAGAAGCATTGAGCTAGGAAGTTAGTCCCCAGTGGACTTATTTTCATGCCCCATTGAATACAAGCATAGCACCATCAAAATCCTGGTTATTTATAAGTGAAAGTTTTATATACAAATCTTTCAATAACTGTTGAGGCGGGCAGTGCCTCTATTTTATAGATGAGGACACTGAAGCTTAGAAAAATTAAGCAACTTGCTCAAGGTCAGTCAAGTAAGTGCCAGGGCATTTTTGTGAATAAACAGTCATCGTGTCTGGTCTGATGTAGATCCATTCTGGAAAATGCTCAGAGCCCCTGTTTACTTGGAAACTACTGAGTTAAGACAAATGTGGTGCGGCTGTGCTGCCTTTTGTGTTGTGAAAACCCTGCTCTGTGGGACTACTCTGCATGGGGCAAACTGCAAGTTGAGTTGGCCTGCAGGTGCTGTGCTCAATCAAGGTCACCAGAGAGACTTGGAACGTTTGAGGGACACCCACTGAGGGACACTGCCTAGAGCTTTTCTATGTGAAGTTGATAGAACACATAAGTGTTCCCATATGCAGGGCCTTTGGGAGATGAAGAGTTCTTAAGGTAGCAGCCTCATGAATGGGCCTCATGCTTTTATAAAAGGCTCTCCAGAGAGTTCTCATATTCTCTTTCCACCATGTGAGCTTACAACAAGACACTCAGTATTCTGCAACTGCCAGACCAGACAAACTGTGGTGGTGCATGCATATCTCAATCTTGGCACCTCCTGAATGGCCAGAAATAAGTATCTGTTTATAAGACAGTACTGAGGCTGTGGCACTTGGTTATAGCAGTTTGAGAGGACTGAGATACTGGTGAAAATTTGAAAGCTCTAGGGGCCCAGGTATGTGTGTATGTTTTGTGTATGCGTCTGTGTTTGTTTGTTTGTGTGTGTACAGGTTTATGTGCATGGCTCAGCTCCTTCTTCAAGAAAGGATTTCCTCTCAAGCTTGGAGTGTCCCATCACCAAATAGCTGCCATTCTCAGCTCTTTTATTATCCGCCTCAGCAGAAGAGAGATGCTTTGCCCAACTTATATCCTTTTCGGGAGCTGCATCCAGGACTGAATGAGGTAGACACACATGGATCCGTCACTTCTCCCAGCCTTGGGACATTTGAACAAGTGGTACTTGCTCCTGTATTCTCTGTTGGTTGACTTTAGCTTTGTCTTATTTGTACTATCATTCAGCCCCTGTGCAGACCAATCTTGCTTCTCCCCCCACTCTTTGACAGATGATGTCTTGGTAAGTATCTTACACTCTAAACTCTACCTTGTTTCTGGAGAGCCCAATCTCAACTATGATATAACATCTCAACTATTATATAACATATGTTAATCATTGGATTATTTTCTAGACTTGCACTGTCCTCAAAGGAGCATGGATATTCTTTCAGTAGTCTATATGGGAGAGTGAATTTAATAGCTATTCTTTGAGATTATGCTGATAAAGTGGTTCACACTGAGTTAGCCAAAGAGTTAGTAACTGTTAAAAGAAGCTCTTTAAGTAGAGATACTTCCATATTATTATTTGGAGTTATTCAAACATTTCAGAATGCTACGTAACTTTGAGATTTTGTGGTCACTATAGAGTGGGATCATAGTTATTCATGGTGCTAATAACACAGTAACAAGAACAATTCAATTATTGATAGTGCTGAGTATAAATTGCCCAACTGTATCGGATAATGATATGAGATTATCAGTGAGGAACTCTAGGTGAGAAAATTGTCCCGAATCATACAACTCTTAAGAACTGTGGTTGGGGCACAAAGCCTGTCTCAGCACAAAACCTATATTCACTCTTCTAAAACATGATTAGGTCAGGAATTAGAAAAAATGCATAATTTTCAATTTTGCCTTCTGTGACCATGTCAGTTTCTGGCACACAGTTCATCATTTGCTGTGTGATCTTGAACAGGTTACTGAACTTTCTTAACTTTGTTGCCTCATCTATAAGTGGAAACAAAAATATTTGGGTATAGAACTGACTGACAATATATGGAAAGCGCAGAGAACACAGTTTGGTGTACAGTGAGTTCTTAGTAAGTATTACTGTTATTGCTGTGATTCTGTCAGATGCTTGTATTTAATTCAAGCTTGAATCCAGGCTCGCAGCTGTGGGATCATGCTTCAGTAATGGAGATAGGGATCAGTAACATATTAAAATTGATTATGATTAATTGGATAACTACAAAGTGTCAATAAAATTTGCATGTGAAGTCAAATAATGTACCCTAGGGTTATTGCTTTAAATCTGCATTTAGTGTAGTGGGGATTAAACTCAGGGCACTTGCAGTGAGCTAAATTCCAAGGTCTTTTAAAATTTTGAGATAGTATCTTTCCCAGTCATTAAATTTCCTGTACTGGGCCCAAACTTGTGATCTGCTTGTTTGGGCCTCCCAGAGTGCTGGTATTACAGAGGTGTGCTACCACACTCAGTTTCTAGGGGTGAATTTACATAAGTTATTTGAAGTAATACAAATAAATGTAAAACCAAAACAATTCAAGGAACAAACAAAAATCTTTCCTGAGATGATTATGTACTTCAAGTCTTAATTAAGAAATATATGACAACTAGCAAACAAAGTAAGTGATTATTAAATTATTTCAGCATTAGGTTGACGAAGAAAGAAAAAGACAGTAAGCAAGCATTTTGCTTTTTTCAGTGGCATGGTGTTGTACTCAGGGATGAAGCCCCCAGGAAATTCTGCATTTTGGTCAAGCTCCACAAAAGATGTTAGACAAATGGCTGCAGAGAGAAAAGCACCTAATTCTTAGTCACCAAGACTGATTTTAGTCCAGACTCAGCACTTCCCAAATGTGATTTTACCTGCTGGCTCGGTTTCTTCATCTGTGGAATAACATACATTTGATGTGAGGACTGAATAGCAAACGTACATGAAACCCTTAAAAGAGAGTCTGGCGCCAGGAAGGTGCCATTGTTAATTTTAGAAATTGTGATTTCATATCATAAGCGAACCATCATTTTCTATGCACTAATTTATCACTTATTCTTAGGGTACAAATATAACCTTTTATGTTGCTGCTTTTTGGCATTAAATTGTTGAGTTATTCAGTGTTAACATGTCTGAAATATACCGTGGGTATATTGAAATAGAAAATTATGAGCAAATTTCTATCATTTGTGGGAGGCAGACCTGAAGAAGAATAGGGCACATAGTTTCTCACTTCCAGAATATTAGCTATAAGCTTATGGAAAACACGTAACTTCATAATCATATATATATTTAGAATGACATAGAAAATACATGACCTACCTCTCACTTCAAAATCTGTTCCCACTGGTTGCATGTATTCATGTGCACACACACAATCACACACACAGACCACACACACTCACAGAATTAGCATTTTCATGACAGTATTTTTGTCAAATATACAGTGTGTTTACATTTAGCAGGCTGGAACCATCCATCCATCCATCCACTATTTAACAAATATTCATTTGAGATAGATTACTTGTCAGACACATACTTCTACATGTTGTTCAGGATTCTAATGGTTTAGGCAACTTTAGATAATATGTAGTAGTTTGCCATACCGTTCCATTGACAGGATCTGTGGCTTTAAAGGATAATAGTGGGGCCAAATCTGCTATTTTTTCCAGTCCTTTGGTGCCGATCCGTTTTCCCTGAGGTGTGGTTGTAAACCAGGTGCCTATGTGATCCTCCACAGGAGTTGCTGCTTGCACTATCTCTGGAGTGACTTCATGGGTTTCATTCTTCTGTGTCATCGATGATTGATTTTTGTGACCTCTTGCTGAGGAAGATAAAAATCAAACACAATAGTATAACTATAATTATGTATATTTACATATTTCATCACGTTTTGATGCAGTGCCAACTACCTCAGACACTGTGGCATAGGCAGTGCTAAGTGTCATTCATCAATTGAAACATTTCTCAATAGAGAAAATATAAGACTGTAAATATCTTAATTTTGACAATTGAATCTTGGCTGGATCCTCATCATCCTTCTGCCTACATACACACAAACACAGCTGGCTTCCTGTGGCACAAAAGCTATTCCATTAACTTCCTTATTCCATGAATCTTGCTTAGACTGCCATATTTTGGATTGTTACTCTAGTCTTTTTTAGTGGATTTTTTTGTTTTTATCAGTACCGGGGATCGAACTCATGACTGCACACTTGAAAGGTAGGCACTTATGCAGCTGAGCTAAATCCTCAGCCTGGACTCTTGCTCTAGTTTTACAGCTTGCTTTCTAGTTTCTACAAGCCTGTCACACCTTTAAGGCTAGTTTGACTTATTGGTATTTAGACTTTACTAGGTTATAAACTCCTAATTTCTCTTACTTTGTCATTTTGTAAATGTTACCCAAAAAATATTTTTCTTTAACTCTGGACCTGCAAAACCTCACCAGCTAGTCCTACTATTGGCCCCTCACTAGAATAAAGTCAAGACTGAACAGTTTAATTACTACAGTCGCATGATACACTCCCTAATTTCCATCCTCCTTTCAACCTGCACTGGGATCAGGAACATAGAAAAGAAGATACCCTCTTAGAACTCTGATACCAATATTTGATTCCGTCTAACAGGGGTTGATTTCCTCTACATCCATGAGTAACAATGAGTAGTTTGCAAATAAGATATTCCTGTGTTGTTAAGCCCAACTAGTGAAGTGAGATTCAGAGTTAGACACAAATAACAGGCCAAGAGAGTAAAGGATTGTCAGCTCCAGATTCAGACTATGCAGTGTGTGCAGGGGATCAATCTGAGTCTAACACGGCTCAACTAATGGAGCAAGCACAAGAAGGCAGGCACAGCCAGTAGTTAAACTGTCCCTTTGCTCCAGGATCTAATTCTGTCCTACTTACACTCCCACAACATTATCAATGAATGAAAATAGTGCCACTTTCAGGTACAGAGAAAATCTTCTAGGAATGATAGCATTATCTTCAAAATTCTCCCCTTTTATTCCTCTGCTTTACATTTCTCTTCTTATTTTCTTATCAAAATAGGTAACCTATTGGAAAGTAACTCCAGCTTGAGGGGTACAGGAAGGAGAACAGGCTGGAAATAGAATGATGTATGCAGACAATCACTTGCATCCATGGAGCCACAGTCAAAATTTCAAGAAGATTTGGGCTGAGAAAAAAGACTGGAGAGGCAGGCACTCATTCAGTACAGTGTACCTTTTCAGTATCTTAAAGATCTTGGAATTTTTCTTATGAGCGATGTCGAGTAAGTAAAAAGTTTCAAGAGGAGTAGTGATGTGATTAGAAGATTGGTTAGATGCTTTGGGCAAGAATATGGATAATGAGTGCCAGTGAAAACAGTTAGGAAGTTTCAAAGAAATAGATTAAAGATTGTAGTAGGGATAAGGCAGTACAATGTGTGTGTGTGTGTGTGTGTGTGTGTGTGCGCGCGCGCGTGTGTTTGGCACCTGGAATCAAACTCAGGACCTCTTGCTTGCCAGGAAGACTCTGTGCCAGTGAGCTATATCCCTGATGCTGGAGGTACAATTTCTTCACCAAAGTAGTTAGAAGACAAATTTGGATACGGAAGAATAGGGTGAGGGGAAGCAAAGAAGGCATCACCTGTAAATTGTGAAATCTTAATCAATGACTGTTTTTCATTATCAAGTATATGAATCAATAAAGTGAAAAAAAAAGACCCAACTGGTGAAAGATCAGACCAAAGATGAGAAGCCAAAAACAAAACAAAACAAAACAAAGCAAAACAAAACAAAAAAAACAAAACAAAAAACAGCTATCAATATGGTTTTATTTTTAGCAGTCTCACATCCTAGATACCACAATTTCATTGAAAATAACTAAAACTATTGGGTAATATCTATTAACCCAGTCTCCATAAGGTGATAACTATATGTAAGGGCAAAATGGGTAAAAGTGGGGGCTGAAAATAACACTGAAGAGGGTGTGTGCTCTGGGGTACCTGTCAAATTGGGTGACTTTGAGGATGTGTTTTCTCAGTGTTTTAGGGTTTAAGAAGGGAATAAAAGCCAGTGCCTTCTGAAGATGATGTGGGGATATTTAATATGAAACCTCTCCAAACCTTTGAGACTTCGAACTACTGTATTCTCTCCTGTTCTACTCCAGTGCTGTTCAACTTTGGTGTTGAACACAGAAGGCAATAGTGTTTGAGGCTGTACAACTACAAGCAGATTCTTAAACAGGTATTACTGAAAACTCATACACACTGAGTAACACAGTCAAAATTCTTTAAATTAATAATATAGTGATCTGTGATTACTGAATCCCCAATCATCAGCTAAAATCCTTTCTGATGCCAAAGTTCTCTCTAAAAAGTGTACCTTTACACCAGTCCCAAGAATTTAAAATTTAAACAATATGAAAAAATAAAACTTAAAATCAGAAAGTACCAGAGGTGAAATGAAACAAGTCACCTAGAACCATAAAAGATACTAGAAAACAGATCACAGAATACAAAATGTGTCCCAAAATAATTACAGAAGCCAAAAGGGACCAGAAAGTATGAGTAAAGGGAAGAGTGATTTGAAAAAAAAAATTAGAAAAAAATTAGAAGCTTGGATTATCTAAACAAATGTAATTAGTAACTAAAATTTTAAAAAATACTAATGTGTTTGTTTTATGAGGCAAAACACAATTTAAAAGAGAGCTGAATTGCCCTGGGATGGCAATAGGGGTCTGAGTTTAGCTTTTCCCTTCTTTCACTGATGCAGGATCATTTGGCTGGTAAGACATCTGAGGTCCACCTCTCCCTCCCTCTGCTGGTGGGTCTCAGGGCCTGGAAACCTGGGGGACCACCTGCAACACAGCAGGACGCTGGTTAAGGTACATACAATGCACAGGTGGACTAGAGGCTCACGTCTCATGCTGCAGTAACAATGTGAGCCAACAGGTGTAAGTTAGGAGAAGCAGTGTTGTGCTTGGGAATAAAGACATGAAGAATAGAAGTAGGTAGGTAGGGCTGGCCCTCTCTCTTTTTTTTTTGTATTTTCTCTCTCTCTTTTTTCCTTTGCTACACAACTGGGGAGAATGTCAGTCATAGAAAAGTAATCCAGTCCTCCAAATTCAGAGACAAAGATCAGACCCAAACCCAGCAAAAATCTACCTGAAATCTTGGCCAGAAGACATATTTCTGGGATCTGAATTCCTGCCACAGAACTGTAGACACTAGAGGAATTTTACTCCTTTCATTTTTCTCTGACTGGTTTCTCTCTTGGTATTTGGATGGATTAGTGTTTTGTTTTTTATGTCACTTCTTTCCTTTTGTTTATTTTTCTTTTTTCGTTTTCTCTCTGTTATGTGTTCTTTTGTTTTTATTTCCATATTTTGTCATTTTTTCAGTGTAAGGATATTTTTGTTTACAGATTTTTCTTCTTTCTGTTTTCCTTTTTCTTTTCTCTCATTCATGATTTAGATCATTAAGCTTTCTTTTTGTTTTATTCTACTCATCCTCTTCTTCGCTTTTCTGAACTATCTTGCTTGACTTTATGGTACTTTCATGTGAGTAAACACTGTTTCTTCTCTTTCTGGTTCACTTCAAAACTACTAAACCTTCTCCTCCAATCTTTCCCTCTTGTGTCCTAAAATTACGCAAACCCTGGATGATCATCCTGTGCCCTCCAATCTTGCTCCTACTATTCATTTCTAATCCTATCCGCAATCCTCTTGAACCACCTTCCCAGCAGGTTAAAATTAGTCAACTAAGTGGAAAATCATTGCATATAAGTTCCAGGTGTAAGTTGGGTTATATTATATTTCTGCAAACTTTCCTCCTGTGGCCATTGATACCAGGCTAACAGTTACCACAGTTTTTCAGTGGCCAGGCTGTACTTGAATCTACTGTTATTGCCAATCAAAATACTTTAACCATTATGTCATGTATGCTATAAGGTGTTTCCTCTCCCCATATGACAAGAGTGTGATTGTAAGGGCTCAGAAACATCATCATTGTCTGGTATCAAAGGAATGAGTCCTAAGTCAAATAGCAACTCTTCAGTCCTAACATATTGGGAAGATAGGTTCTTGGGATACACAGAAAGACCAAGAATTATCTACATCCAGAAGTCCTCTGAGGAAGATACACCTTCTAGGAAAGGCTTGACATCAGTGATAAGGCTATCTAGCATAAAGAATCTACGAGCATCAACACAGAAAATAAAATAGAAAATGACAAGATAAAGAAGCAAAATGAAATCCTAAGTGCTCCACCCATATGGGAGAAATCAAGAGCACAAAGAGAAAGGAAATTGGAAGCCAAAGAGTGGAACTCTCTAAAATGATAGTGGAAGAAGTGAGAAAACAAATGGAAGAGGCATAGAAAAAGTAATCTCTGAGGTTCAAAAAAGAAATGACTATCAAAATGAAAGACATTAAGGCAGACAAAGATAAACAAATAGAAGAGTTCAGGAAAACAATGTAAATCATGAATGCCAAACATAGAAAAGAAATGGAAACAACGAAACAGATCCAAACAGAAATTCATGAGATTAACTCCATAGAAAGCACATGCAGCAGAATGAAGTTGAGATCTAGAAGACAGGAACATGCCTAATGACCAGTAAAATATCTTAAAAATAGCAAGAGATATGAAAAGACCAACAGCTACAGGATGAAATAAAGAAGAACAACATACGATTGACTGAGTCAGTGAGAAAGCTGGCAACAGTGCAAAAGCCATTAAAAACCTCTTCACAGAAATAATGGCAGAAAATTGCTCAAACATGTATAAAGACTTTGACATACAAGTAAATGAAGCATATAGAACTCCAAATAGCCATGACCA